CAGGTAGCAGAATCACCTCTTCCTTAACTAATGAAAAATTTACCTAACAATTTTGGTTACAAGCTTTCCTAAATTTTAATAGCAAGAAATATACTAACTCACAGAATACACGTCAGCTTTGAAAGATGCTACTTGGGCAAAATAAGCATTGAGAGAAAAAATACAAAAATGGACTGGTATCTACTTTGCAAAACTACAGACTACAGGGTAAATGTCTTCTTCCTAAAGAACTAATTTAGTACAGCTTCAGAGATAGGCATGAGGTAGGATAGAAGAAACAAAAGGTAAAAAGAAGACAAGGAAATTGTACCTAAAAATTGTACTCTGTAAAGACTGCAGCTTCTAGGACTTAGCTGACGTCACCCAAGACAGCCTGGAGTCCACATATGCTGGCTACATTTACACTTCTTCCTACCAGACTCATTACTAAAAGGGCATAAATTGGTTCAAATAAAAAGTAAGGTATAGGGGCCTGGATCTGAGATAAGGACTACCCCAATGTCAACAATCCTTGCTCAGATTTATACCCTTTCTCTGTTAGCCCCAACACTAGAAGGCGACAAATTGGCCCAATTAAGAGAACAAACAAAAGGTTGAGTGAATCCAGAGAATATTTAAATCACCTATTAAAAACAATGCCTGCAAATGGGCTGGTACCCACTTGAAGGAGAGGGGAGAATGGGTGGGCAGGCTTTTTTCCCTAGCTTTTCATCCCTTCAAGAAAAGTATAAATGTACTGAGTGCTAAACTGTAAACTGGGCCTGGTGGCTCACACCTGTAATCCCAGCACTTGGGGGCCGAGGCAGGAGAATTACTGTGAGTTTGAGGCCAGCTTCAGCTACAAAGTGAGTTCAAGGCCAGCCAGAAGTGCATAGAGAAGCCTTGTCTCAAAAAGACAAAAAAAAAAAAAGAAAAACTGTAATATGTCTCATTTCTCTGAGCACCCATACTCACCTCTTGATGTGTAATCTGTAGGTCTCTAGACACAATTAATATTCAGATATGGAAATATAGTTCCTGAATTATCCCACACTCCTGAAACTCCCATGATAAAAGACAACTATCAATTTATAAATAAATATTTTAGGTCTTAGATAAACATACCTGAATGACATCTACTATGGGACAACTCAGCCAACTAACATCCATTGCAAGAAACAAAATAAAACATACTTATGATAAATAGAACAATGCCACCAAAAATATGGGACAGATTCCTATATAGAGCTGCAATCACACTACTATGTTAAGAGACACTCATTTGTTTGCTACTGACTGAAAAGCAAGGGCTAGAATAAGATGGCTAGCCCCAAATGGTGTACAGTTGCTCTATGGCACAAACTTATGGCCTTGGTTGACTCCAGAGCAGGTAGAAAGATATACATTAGGGTACCCATGGATACAAGGGCGCTGAGTTGAAACTACAGATTGACCAGCCAACTTCCCAGTTTTGTTACATTGATAGACCACAGATCAGTTATTCACTGGTATGATCATTTCATCTCCATCTTTATTTCACAAATAAAACTTAAAAGTATAATGAGACACACTGAACCTCTTACCAACTATAACTAAAAGACTCTAAACTAAACACTGCAAAATGTTTCATTACTAAATTCAGAAATAAAAATGATGAGCAAAGCCATTTTGCAAAGGCAAATGGTCCTAGGTATTCTAACAGCAGCTCAAGGTAGAACCTGTGCCATTATCACAGCAGGAAATTGTGTGGACATTACTAACAACTCTGCAAATGTATCTTCTGCATTAAAGATCTATATTCATAGATCAGTACAATATCAGACTCTGCCATAAGTATCAACGAATGACTATTGTGCTGGTTTTCTGAAACAACATGGAGAAATAAAGTTTGAATTTGTCTGAAGAGAATACTATGCTTTGAGTTCTTTTATGTTGCATGATCATCCATTGTTGTTGTGGGCTAATGTCTTGTATGCCCCTGCCCTCTCTTTCAGACTATCAAAGAGTACTGGTTGTACAAACACCAAACCCTGATATTCATATGTGTCCTTTAGATCATTCAGGACAAGTCTTTTAGGCTCTGGCTAGGCAAGAACAATGCTCCTGCTCAAAAGAAAAAAAATTACATAAAGTTGGAATGTTAGGTGAGAAATAAAAAGTGTAAATAAGGAGCAAAATGATGATAGATATTGGGAAGGAGAAATAAAATGTTCAAATGGAAAGGGGAACAAGGGACAGGGGAGGGAAAAGGAAAACAAAAGAGAATAGAAGGAAAAAAACAGAAACAAAGCTTTTGTAAATGGGGAGGAGAGTAGGGTTGAAGGGTGGGGATGGGGATAGGGGAAAAAGAATTAAGATATTATGTACAGGTACAAATTCCCTATGATGAGTGTGATCAATATGTATGACAAATATATATTTATAAAAAATAAAGTTAAAAAAGGTTGGACCATCAGGTCTTCTGGAGCCCCTTAAAAATAAGATATCAAAGTTAGGTGGAGGGTGAGGTAGGACAGAAAAAATAAAAGACAGGTAGAAAACAGAAAAGAAAATCATAATTAAAAGTTATACTCTGGGGGCTGGGGATTTAGCTCAGAGGCACAGTGCCTGACTGGCAAATATGAGGTCATGAGTTCGACTCCCGGTACCAGAAAAAAAACAAAACCAAAAAAAAAAAAAAAAAGTTGTACTCTGAAAAAGACTGCAACTTCCAGCACTTAGCCAAAAATTGCCTCATGCCAAAATTATTTGGCTAGATTTATACCTATTCCTACCAGATTCATTCTAAAAGGCCATAAATTGGCTCGATTAAGAAAGCAAGGTGCCTGGCTGTGAAAGAAGGACTGTCCCACGTCAGCAGTCCTTGGCCAGATTTATACTCCTTCCCTGCCAGACTCATCACTAGAAGGCCATAAACTGGTCCAATTAAGATAGTAAACAAAAGGTTGAGCAAATCCAGAAAATGTTTAAATCACTTATTGAAAAACTTAAAAAACAGCCAGGTGTGGTGGCACACACCTGTAATCCCAGCACTTGGGGAGGCTGAGGCACAAAGATTGCCACAAGTTCAAGGCCAGCCTGGGCTACACAGTGAGTGCAAGGCCAGCCTGAACTACACACTGAGACCTTGTCTCAAAAAAAAAATTTTAAAAATATGCCTGCAAATGGGCTGGTACCCTTGGGGGGCAGTTTTATCCCTAGCGTTTCATACTCTCAAGAAAAGAATAAATATATTCAGTTCTAAACTGTAATGTATCTCATTATTCAGAGTACCCATACTCCCCTCTTGAGTATGTACTATACTCTCTCTGCCTAATAAACCATATTCATGCATCTTCTTGACATACCCTAAAAATTCTTTTCCTGTGACAGAAGTCAACGAGCCTGCTACAGTGGGGTGATTTAAGTTTAAGAAACTCAGAGACTCGGCCTCGCGACAGACAAACTGTATAGAAAAAAGAACTATCTCCTCGGCTAAAGCTAATAACTACTTCAACAGTGTTAGAGACAAAAGTGGCTTCATAAAAGCTAGGTCAAAACAAGACAAGCAAGTTCAATAGATGACTAACTGAGAAATTCAGTGTTACTTGAGAATTTTCCCTACATAATTATGAATGTAAGTATAATGAGTTTGGGATAGGAGAGGTAAATATTTCTCAGAAAAGCTTTGTGATTTTTAATATGTTCTCTACACCTCAGGGTTTGTTTTCTAAGCTCTGTTGGTCTGAAACTTCAATGAAAAGTTTATCCAGGCGTGATTAGGCCCTGAGAAAAAATGGATTATGCTGCATGAGATGGATATGTACCCAACAGTCCATTTAATGACTGACAATGAAAGTAACTACTGAGCAGACTGATGCTTTCAGTGGTGAGTCAGTGAATTCTTTATTCCAAAAGGAAGTCAATTTTTAGAAATCAAATGAAGATCATATAGCCGGTTGATGATGTATGAAATCAGAGCTAGAAAACTGACAAATGTCATGCTAAAGACTAACACATGCATAAACAAATTTCAGTACTTGGCTTAGTTTTTGAAAATTCTACCTTATGATACTTTGCTATTTCTAGACAGCCACGGAAGATAGTAATATCTTTTAAAAAGAGACAGAAATATAAATGTAGAATGCTTTGAGTTCTGTGAAAGAGAAGAATTACACTGGGAACCAAAGAAAGAGAAGAAAAGCACTTTCTCACCAATCACTTCCTACCGATAAAATAAGTACTATTTGCTTTGTAAATAAGTACAATTTTTATAGAGCACTTCTATATACAATTTACTCAATTGGCTATCAACTCTTAAATTACCACTTCTATTTCTCTTTCACTCTTTGTCTTATTTCTCTCTCCTATTTCCCTTTCACTCTCACTCTTTGTCTCTGTCTCATTGAGTAAAGACAGGAAGAAAATAAAAGCAAACTCAGAAAAAAGGGCCAGGTGGAAAAATGTGTAACAGTATTTTGATGACATTTTCACTCACTTGGAAAAGTATAGTGCAATTAAATCTTTTTATTTCAGTGACCTTACTATTTACCAAACCTATATAATGATAGTATCAATGATAAAGAATATGGATAATTAAATAGATGGGTTAAGGGGAGGATCCACCATGAAGTTAGTGGATATTCTAGAATCTAAACATATACATGGGGAAACATCAACCTTAAAACACACAGGCACACATTAATTGCCTAAATCTAACTTGGCCATTTATTTGAGGCTAGGTTACATAATAACTAAGCTCAACCAATGTTATTTTAGACAACTAAAATGATTACTTGACAAATAAATTTTTCTCTTTCAATCAATCAGGAAATTTTGTTGGTTGGTTGGTTAGTTGATTTTACACCAAAGAAAATCTCATCCATGTAACTTTAGTCAGTGCATACAATTTGACATTAGAGAATTTCAGTTAGAAGAATCAATCAAAATATACTAGAGTATGATAATGTTAAAATACATATACATTCTATGCAAGCACAATCATCAACAAGAATTCCCAGTTACTTGTTATTTGCTCTTACCCCTTCTTTTGGGTCTGTGTGTAGTCCTCCACCTGCATGACCATGCCAACATGTCCTCTTTTCTATCAGTGGCCATGCCTGCAGAGTCTATTGAAAATAATACCAACCAATTTAATGGCTATTACAGAATTTCAGATGATTAAAAGCAATGAAGAAACAATCTACTCTAATGAATACCCCAAAACAAACTCAAAGGCATTGCTTTTAGCCTGACACAGTAAAGGAAAACACTTTCATAAATAGCTTACAGCTAAATTTATATAATGAACATTGAGATTAACAAATATTCATGCAGAAATCACTTTCTCTAAATAGCCTTTAAAATTCACATTTAAAACATTAAAATTATATTATACTTTTATTTAACTTACAGTGGTACCTTTATTGTCATTCACTACTACTGTGCCAATAATCTGTTACTCTACTATTGATAAGGATAATATACAGTTAATTTATATCTTATCTGCTTACCTTCTGTATATATTTTTGTTGTACAGTTAATACTGCTGATTTTATGCAACTAGTCCTTTTTCTTATTATCCTTGCTCACATACATATTAAGGACCATGTATTCTTAGTACTTCAGTCTATCTTATGCTACAGTCACACACGTTTTGTCTTTGCTATTACCCAGTAAATTTCTTAGAGCTAGAACAATATCTTTTGTCTTCTTCTCTCATGGTATATACCAGTGTTTTACATATATATGATATGCAGATTTCAATGCTTGTTGGATTGGCTTATAAAACAGCTATCTGCAAATCTCCCAACTAGCATCATCTATTATCATATCTACAATAAAATTTTAAAAGGCCTTAAAATTACTGCTAAATTTAGAGATATATAAAAATAAAATTATTTGAGAAAATATAGGTAACAAGATATTAATGATTATGTTTTAATTTTACGCTTGCTAATATTGAAAGCCTTTTCACAATTAAAAAATAATTAAGTACACAGGTTTAATGATGCTTTTTCAGTAATCAGAATGATCAATATTAATGAACAATTCTCTCACAAACACAAATATGTATCAATACCATACACAATAGTATCACCTCAGGACCAGGCTACAAAAATGGAATTACAAAAAACAAAACTACCTTCTTGTTCTCACCATTTGAAACGCACGAACTACCTTAAAATGGATTATTGATTTTGGATCAACAATCTTAAAGCACTTTGTAAAAGGAAAACATCAAAGGTAATTTCTAGTCTGAAATATCTCTTTATGACATTTTTTCCTCTAAACATTTAGGCAACACGTTTTATCAAGGGGTCTGGTAAACAACACATAAAATAACGAGGTCTTAAACAAAGCAAAAGCCTAAAATGTAAATAAAATTCACAGCATCATGGGCAATGAGACAATTAAGTATATTTTCCCCTTAAAGCTTTAGTTTAATAATGAAAAATTTTTCATTTCTACAGCCTCTGTATAAATCAGAACAATGTCTTATACTTCAATGGGAAATAATTTAAAAAAAAATTAAAAAGTAGCCTTTTTCTACCACAGAGATTTAACTGTTCCATTTTAAAGCACTGGGAATTTTTAAAGATGTCTTTCATTTATATTAGCTATGAAGAATAACCCTCATCAATACGTAAACTAAGCATCATTTACTTCATGAGCTCTAATAAGCTCACAATCTCTTGATGTTCTGCTATTCGAAAATTTTCAAGGATAAAGAAACTTCACTCACTTGAAAAACTACAACATTCTATATAATAGATACAAATTACCAAGATAAATTTAAGTGTCAACAACTGCCATTACATGTATAGAAGCTTTCTGAAAATGTTACTTTAGTTGGCACAAATCTCAAGAGATTCAGATTTCTCCAGGGGTAGAAAAATAGCAAGATTTCTTTCTGCATTTCTAGTAGCAGGAACATACCTTCTTGCCCGTATTTAGAAATACATGAAAATTATTTGAAAAATGTAAAATATGTACTAAATATATAGTATAAGTTAGGAAATGTCCCAAGAGTTTATATACTTTTCCTACCACATGTTGAAGTATGGGCTTAATCTTACCTTTGCAGCATCTAATAACTGTCTTGAACTGTCTTTTCTCCATCTTTGCCATGTAGCATTTCTTAATAACTCTGGGATCTGTTCAAGAAAAAAAGAGGTGGAGACTGAGTTTCAGAATGGACAGTTAATACTCTAAAGGTTATTCTTCTGTTCATAAGTATTTATTTTCTGTATCTTAAATGTCCCTGAAAAGCTCGTGTGTTGGTGGCTGGATCTCCAACTGATGGCACAATGGGGGAGAAGGGCACCTTCAGGTGGTGGCACCTAGTTGGAGGAACATTACAGGAGACACCACCTTGAAGGGTATATTTGGACCCAGAACCTCCCTGCACCCTCTGATTCCCAGTAGCCATGAGAGGAGCAGTTTTGCTCTACCATGCACTGCCCACAATGATTTTTTCCTGGCCACAAGCCCAAAGTGATGGGCCCAAGCAACCACGTGCTGAAACGTCTGAAAACCTGAAACAAAATATACTTTTCAAACTGTAAGTTATGTCTTGGTCACTATTCTAGCACTGGACAAAATAACCAACACTCAAAACTTAAAGGAAGAAAAGTTTATTTTCTATCATAGTTTCAGTCCATGGTTAAAAGGGCCTGGTCAGAGAACAGCTGCTCATCCTTCGGCAGGCAAGAAGCAGAGAGAGAAGGGAGGAGCCAAGGACAGGAATACACCTTTCCAGCTCATGCCCTCAATGACCCACCTCCAAACAGGCGCTGCCTCCCAACAGTACATTTAGCTACAAACTAACTCACCAATGGATTAATACATTGATTAGTATAGTACCACCATCATCTACTCACCTTCCAAAACCCCACCTCTGAATCCATGAAAGTATGGGAAAACATTCTAGACCAAAACCATAGCAAGTTGTTTACCTCAGGTGTTTTGTCACAGCAATAGAAAGCTAACATATATACAAACATAATACTAAAATTTTAATCAATGTTAATTGGTTATGTTCTCAATGCATGCCTAAGAAGACAAAATAAAATTTGTGGTCTAGGCAGAAAGTAAATTAATTATTAAAATGTCAAATTGTATTTTCTGTTCATTGCCCCTGTAGGTTTCTCTTTTGTTTCTTTTCTCATTATATTTTTTATTTTTTAAATAAAAGAAGCTGGTTTATTCGAAGGTAGGGAAGGGAGAAGAGAGAGATGACAGATAGCTACTCTGGATGAGTAAGGAGTATATAAAACTGAAATATTCCTCTTTTTCTTGTTTTAAATCTTTGTTTCTTAAAGCCCTCGAAGTCTTCAATATGATTTCTTTCTTAAATGGCTTAAATCTTTTCAAATACTTCTCTTTTGTTCTAGCTTCCTTTATTTCATGCAGTTACATTCCACATTATATTCGTTCCCGCTATAGTCTTAATCTGAGTGCTAAATTTAGATACTAGTCACAAGATCAATTTTGCACATTTCTATATAACTAGCTGATGAACACCAATGAAATGATTCCCTAGGGCAAGTTTTTTTCATGGCAACGTTCTACAAATGAATCTGAAAGATAGGATAATAAAAACCTCTCCACAGTAATATTAGAGAGAAATCTGTAAAATGGACACACATCTTTCCAAACTGCAGTATCAATTTAGTAAGGAAAACTCTGCTTCTTAGGTCAAATATCTCCTAAAAAGGCAAGTAACTCTTGATCTTTACTTAATTGTAAATAAGTTGTACAGCTGAATTAGTGCCTCAATATTAAAAACAATCCATGTACACTGCAAAATACCAAAAAGGAAATCAACAACAAAATAACTTCCATTCACAAAAAAGTAACCAAATCATTGAGAAATCTGGCTCAGGTGTTTGCTAAAATAAAATAAACAGTACCTAGTTCTTGGTTATGTGTATTTATAAATGTGTAAGGTATTCCCTGAATTAGGAGAACTTCAAACATATCAATGGCTGCTTGCACTGTTGTGCTGAAGTCAAGCTTTTACCCTATTCTACCTCTGCACCCTCAAATCTCTTCACTACTATAACCAAGCCTCCTGAGCCTTTACTGTTTTTCTCACTTCCCTTCTCCAGATTCAGACCTTGTACAAGCTTCACTCCTCTATTTTCCTGTTTTTCACAAGCCTTTAGTTCAGGTAACTGCAAATCAGAGTAATATCTAGCCCATGTTTGCAGATACACACGTAATTCAATTTTGTTTGCCTTTCACAATTTGTTTAGTTACCTCAAATAAATCACTACCTTTTTTCTTTCCTCTCTCAAAACCATGCCTACAGGTGGCTGCCAGATAAAAGACTGGTCATGCACTTACATTAACAAAACAACAAAATGAAGTAATATTGTACAAAATAAACATAAATCTACCATCATATCTAAACCCTTGAAACTTCAGAATTACCAACTTTGTATCCTTTTGTAAATTAAATCATTTTTTCTTTAAATACCTATAACTAAATAATTTTTAAACTGTTCATTTTGAAAATGAACTTCCAGTAGTAAGACAACATTGTTAAAATTATCAAATATTTCAGGTATATAAAAATTCAGAAAACATAAAGTAGTCCCTTGACTTATGAACTCAATTCGTTTGCAAGGGATGGTTTTAAATTAAGACTAATGTTCCCATAATAGTGAAAATACCCATAATGTATTCCGAACCTCCCAAAGCATCCCTTAACTAACCTTTACATAATAAAAAGGGTTGTATAATGTGCATAATTTGTCAGAAACACCAATAATTTTCCTTGTGTATTCACCAAAACGTCATGAAATGTGCCTAGTTTACCAGAAACAACAATTTCCTACTATACTCAACAGTCAAATTGACATCTTTGGCTTGCAGGAAGGGAGGATGAAATAGAAGGTGGTTATTGTTTGGAATGAAAGCCCCTTTCCGTAAGAACATCAGAAATCTAGTTTTCTGGCATCCTTTCTCTCCTTGGGAGAGTCTGTGGTCACCAGGTCTCAACCTTTTCAGAACTAAAAACTGGTCTAAGGTTGTTTGCTTCTGTTGTTTCTTTAACACTGTTCTTTTCTATCATGATTGCTTTCTTTATCTTCCCTTCCTTCCTTGCTGCTTTTCTAGTATTTTTTAAAGAGAATAAAAAAATATAAACAATACACAATTTCAAAACAAGATGATAAGAAATTAACAATGATTATTATATTGCATATTGTTATCTTCAAAGTAGTTGTTCAGATTACCAGATATACGAATGCAAAGAGATCTAGAATAGCAGGCTGCCAGAATTTATTTATTAACTTAAGACTTTGGTCAGAAGTTAAACCTAAAAATTCCAGTAATAAACCAAGTTGTTCCTGTATGAGGATGGTCGTAACTCAAGCATTCAATATAATGAACACATGTACTCACTACTCAGCCTCAGAAATAAGACATAAAAAGACAGCCCTTGACATGTTCCCATGTCACCTCTACTATGTTCCCCCAAATAACCAGCATTGACTATTAAAAACATTTTTCATTCCAAAGGTTAAGAGTTTCATTCACATAACGAGTTAACACCCTTTGAGGACCAGTCCTGTAACTACCATTAATTAAAATATTGTTCCTATGGGAAAATGCTCTCAGTTCTAAACAACACATTTAAAAACATTTCTGAAGCAATTCATGTTTATAAATTAGAGAGTAGTTCTACTTGTAAAACTCTAAGGGAAGGCCTTACAGCAAAGTATCTTCCTCACACAACCTGAGGTGGACAACAAGAGAAAACAGGATTATTAATTCTGTGGAATTTGATTTGAAATTAGGAAGCTGGATCAGATGCCCTCTAAAGTTCATTCCAACTCTAAAATTCTACTGGGCTGAGGACATAGCTCAGTGGTGCAGTGCCTGCCTGGCAAGTGTGACATCCTAAGTTCAATTCCTGGTACCAAATTAATTAATTAAAATTCTATTATTTGTATGGAATGAAATGGCTACTATTGTTAAATTATTCTTTTTAAATAGTTAACTGAGATTATAACTTATTTCTTCAAAAATTTATCATCTGAATTTGTAATACCATCCCTCCAAAGGCACACAAAGCAATAAACCATACTAAAGATAATAAACATGATGAATGGGCTGAAATACCAAAGGTATCCAGTATCCTGAAAATGACAATATGTTAATTCTTTTTAGGAAGGTAAATTAAAAAAAGAAATTCTGAAAGAACCTCTAAATTCAGGAATGTGACTCTTGAGCATTATAATGTATGCTCTCATTTAGCTCACCACTATTCAACTACTAATCATTAAACATTAATCTCTGCTCTAGGTAGACATTCAACAAAGATTTATAAAATGACGTAACACTAACACCATTGACCTAGAATGCAGAACTACCTCTCTGTAAGTAAGATCAATATCCAGGAGCAAAGGCTAATAAAATTGAAGCCTACTCATGTTACAGTTACATTCCTCCTTTAAAATTCAGTGTTTACAAAAATTAATCCTACTAATAAATCTAATTAGTAACTACTAATGACTGCATTGCTTTGTAATATTTAATTTACATAATTCAATTTATCCTGAGACCTTAAAATATTTGAAGAATTACCTAATAAAAAAAGAGATTAAAGGCCTGGGTATATAGCTTGATAATGAGGATTGTAAAAAATAATGAAATAAAAATAAGAGATTACAACTGTACTGTCAGTCTATCAAGGATTTTTGATTCAATTATACAGTCTGCATCCCCGGAGCGCTAGGAAATAAAGTAAGTCTACAGCTATGCATCCATGACACATGTAATGCTGCACAGTATCAGTCACATGTGAACATAGTTACCTGATCATTAATCATCTATGATTGAGATCTAAAGGATTAAAATTAAATTCTCAATATATTCGTAAAGAAACCCACTGTGATTTAAAACTGTACATAACCTACTTCACTACGTTTTTTTCCCTCAACTCCCTAAAAACTATCTAGGGGTAAGACGGGTATGGGAAAAGAAAGAAGTAAAGAAAGAAAGGGTGAGAAATGCTAGGCTAACTTGAAAGTTTCTATCAAGAAAAATGAAATACTTAGGAAGCAATCTAAAAAAGAAGCTGAAAGACCTATACACTGAAAACTACAGTACTCTGATAAAAGAGAATTAGACATCAGAAAATGGA